AAAGTACAGATGAAATTGATCTAAGGGCTGATATTGTGATGAGCTGTTGAAAACACGATAATGTACCTTAAAATTCGACAAAAAACGAATAATTTGACTAGCTGAGGACTGATTAGATTCTAAATAAGTCTGTTCCGTAGGATGAGTGTTCAGAAGACACCATTAAATGAGATGTTAGATTAGGTAATGTTTAAATAAAGCTGTATTTAAACTTGGTCACATACAAAACGGACAATGAATGACTTGGATTTCTTACTATGCTTAATTTCAATTTCAGCTGACTTAAAAGTAACGTACGTCAAATACTGGGCTCTCGCGTACACTTTTGGGCACCATTTCGTCACCCTCACTAGACTAGTTGAATCCATAAATAATTTTAACTGCAATTTTGATTTCTGACAAGAAAAATAAATTACAAATGTTACCTCAACAAATTGCGAATTGGGAAGGAAGTCACACTGGCGTCATCCATTATAAATCTTTTTTTATCAAGCGTCATAGAGGATCAAAGATTTTCCATGTTTTCGGCAAACTTTGCAGTTACCACCTTTATGATGAATATTTTAGAGGAATTTGGAAGCCCTTAACTACATTCTGCCCAATGCCGATTTTTAAATTACACCTATTCAGTGCGGAAGAAAGTGTTTCAAGTCTTCATGATGGCATTGAACCTAACCTAACCTAACCTAACCTAACCTAATCCAACCCAACCTAACCTAACCTAACCTAACCTAAACTAACCTAACCTAACCTAACCCAACCTAACCTAAACTAACCTAACCTGAAAGTAATCTACAAAAAAACCACGAAATATTTCAGTCTCGGTAGTTCATGCCGTGTCAGAGGTTCAAAATGGAGACTCCAGAATGCAGGTCAGAGCATTACCTAGGGTATTATTAAGTTATTAATATCTTTTACCAGATTAAACTGTCTCTGTTGTATCTAAGAGCAAACAAAAACTGGTTTTAAAACAAAATAAATACATGGCGATAAACAGACTGTAACAAAACAACCGACATGTGAATTGCATCATCTTTGATCATGTGATCAAATTTCACGGCGATGAATATGAAGACGATTGTTTTCTGTGATTTTGCGTGGGATCTTGTATTACCCAAATAATAGATCCAGAAAGATCTTCTGAAATGTCGATCAATATCTACCAGACTGCATAGTGCTACAAACTAGAATATTGCCGTCTTTAAGCTAAAATAAATTTCTGTAAATTATTTTTCACGCTTATCCAGGTAAACTAAAAATTCAGTTTTTGCAGATTCTTTTTCAAGAATATTTATACTCTTGTGTAAAGATGTCTTTAAAAATTTTCCGATTTAAATAAACAATTAAACAGTAGGACTTCTATTTTGTAAAATTTTACAAAAAATTAAATTTAAAGAAAATTGAGTTATTCTTTCTCGAGTAGATTCATGAATACCGTGGAAGACGATCACGACTTTCATATCTATTTTCCAACACTGTATCTAGTAACACCCTCTATTTAACTGATACTGAACGATACTGCAGCATGAAACATGGACTTCTGTATCTGACGTGTAAATTATCAGCATTCGAGAACTCCTGTCGATATTACCAGAGTACAATGTCGCCAAACGCTGGCTAATCGAACACATCACAGCTGAGAACTGGGTCATACCTCACAGGCCTCTTGTCCTTGAACACATCTGAGCGCTGGCCTCGCCTAGAAGTCAACACGACCACCAGAGCGCACCACTAATCACACATCATAGTTTGTTTATACCTCGTACGCTCGATATATTTTGATCCAATATCCACAGAAAATGAAGTTGAAAAGCGATTCAAAATACAACAAATTTTGCTTAGGTTTCTTGCATAAGTTAGAAACATCTATAATTACCTTGATATTTTCAAATAAGTATTTGTTATATGATGATTTTTACAGATCGTGTTTCATACACAGGAGTATATTTTATTTACAAGAGAAATTTTCGACCAAAAAAAAGATCGATTTGTGGTTCAGTATTCAATTTTGTAAGATTCGTATTTACAAAACGCTAACGTCTGTCTACACTCAAATACACATAAACACAACGTTTATACGTAAATTACACTTTCTTAGTCATATTTAGAAGTATTTCTAAGTTAAATTAGAAAGGAGAAACTTTCAATATGCAACTCTAAGACAAATTAACAACAAAAATAAATGTTGCTTGTTGACACTATAAGGAGGTTATAAACATCTTTTTAAAGGTTACCCTTATGTGTCTACGTATATGCAATGTTAGGTACAGTAAAACAGGGCAAAAACATTAATTTACTTTTCAAATACGCCTGGAAGTTACAATGCTGGGCCAGATTAATAACTTTTGATGGTAAATACTTTCATTAATCGGCATTCTTCTGGTTAACAGCTTGAACTCTGACAATAAATTAAAAGCGATTAGAAATGACGTCCAGTTCAGATATAACGATCACTTGTGCTACACATTACCACTACAAAATTAAATTTGTTAACGTTGTTTGATGAAATAATTGATGTTTACAGTGAGAATCATACGAAACACATACGCAAAAATTCAAACTTATTGATTGTTAAAGCAGGTGGAACACATATTTAACACAAGGCTTTAGTGGGTCAAATGTTTTACACAATTTATATCACATTTTAAAAAAAGTTTTAAATAACATCAAAATATTTAAAAGCACATCTTACCCTGTTCATTAGGATTTCTGTTTGCGATAACCTTGAAAATACCGACGAAAACTCCAACCGAATTGTCGTTCCGATCTCTCCAAAGGCTGCCGTCTGTTCATTGCGTCACTTAATCCTTGCGTAATTTAACCTCACTTTATTAGACTTAATTCTCTCCCACACTCTTCCTTAAACTCCAAAGTTTCTACATATAATCCATCCTTTCTTTGGTTAGTCTGTCTTTCAGTACTTATTTGTTTCTTGCTTGGCGATCCTGATAAATTTGAAACAAAACAAGTCACGGTATGAGATTTGTACACGGCGATGAGCGTTCTGAATGCGCCCTCTAGATTGACTACACAAATAAGAAGACCGCGTTCTGAAATCTAATTCGCTTACATTGTTTTACTCCTATGAACATCTCGCATTTTCTATTGTTTCGAGTTGTTGTGACATCCAAACTGGGTAATCAATTTAACGCCGAAACAAGATTAACGTTCGCTGGTAATAATGATGTGGCCGTGAAAAAAAACACTTCTTTTGTTTTTAACAGTTGGTACAATATTTTAGTTATCGACAATCGTCGAATCTCTCGAAATGGCAACTACAATTAATATCGATTGTGCCTACGTAGTAACACTCCACAGAACCTTTTATATAAATAAAATAATAAGACTCCCTTTTGTAACACAATGTTAGTAATTTCTTTGCGTGCCTGAACGTCGGCATTGTCTACTGTTTGCCAATAATTCGATGACGCATAACTGCACCCAGCTGAGCATGAAGTTGCTTCTCTGGTCACAGGTTAATTGTCAGTAATCAATCAACTATAAAATTGCCAAAGAATGGTTAAATGAATAATATTGTTTACCGTTACTTTGCGAATTGTGTTTGCCAAATGAATTGAACGCATCCATTCAGAATTCATTGGGAGGTTTACATCGATTTATCGAAGTCAAAAATGAATATTTTGTTGATCCAAAGGTCTTTGAAATTTATCATGACACATATTTTAATGTGGGGTTATCGGTAAAAGTAAAGTAATGAAATATCATTACATTCTAACTTCACAAAAATAGTTATTCTTGACAAACTAAATGGTCAGTGAGTAACCAAATAAATTCACTGTATTTTATGTAATCTGAAGGTTGCTAATAATTCGATCGGAATTAAAAGACTTGACGTATGACTAACCAGTTGTTAAATATCTCTGACAAGAAATATTTATTTTGAAATGCAACTTAATTACAACACAACATTACATGCCAATAATTTTTAAATTTTAATGTGAAAATTCCATGTTGAAAAAAATCTTACAATATTTAATTCTCAGGAAATTTGTCTTCGTCGTCAGATTCGTCTGAATCATTACAGCTTCATAGGATGTTTTCTCGACTGTTTCAAGATGTTCCTGACAGTATCACGATCAAGACCTGGTTGTCGATTACCGACAGAGCAGTTGGTCTGTACCATTGGGAACATATATGCGAGGTCAATGTCGTAGCGTGGCAACTTCTCTCTGAGGTACGTCACCACGTTCGATGCCAGAATCGGTTGTCGGCTCATGATGAAACTAGACAGGTACCTGGGACTCTTAGACTTCTCTGCACAGTGCAGGAGCAGAGCCCAGGACTTGTAGTCTGAGTCTAGGACGTACGTGTTGTACACCCCTTCGTCTGTAAACAGTTAAAACACGCGATTTTTGGATTTAAAGGTTGTGAATGCAAAAGATGGCTGTCTTCTGGGTTGGCCTGAAGATGGTTGCATCAAGGACCTCCGAAACGTTGGTAAACATCGACCAGACTACACGGCGCCACAACCCAGAAGACAGCCGTGGGATCTCCCTGATGATGGAAGCAGTAAGTTTATACGAAACGTCCCTAAGCTATGGCGCTACAACCCAGAAGACAGCCATCTTAAGAGTACGCTGTGTTGATTACAATAGAGATCATAAAACCGTGGGTCGCAGGTCGTTGTTTTCTGTGTGGCCAGCGAGAATTTTTGTAATACTAAGCAAAAATGCATGATGAAAAGAATTTATATAATATCAGAACACGTGTTGTGTTAATTTCGTCAGTGTCTGGCAGTGATTACCGCTGTGAGCGTAATGAATAATTTCAAATCAAAATCTAAGACGCGTATTAATGACGGACACTTAGAAAAATGCACACAAATAGCAAAAATAAAACGGAAATTGAGATCGTATATTGAAAGACTATTCAAGAAAAATCAGTCAACACCTCAAAGACATATATTGAGTGATATGTTATTATATCTGCGAAAGTAAATCTAATTTAGGAGAATTTAAAAAAAAATGTCACAACATTTAAACAAACGTGCCCCCCCCCCCCAGGTTTGTGAAAAGTTCCCGAAACTACCATATTTATATAACGTTAAATGGTGTTGATTGTGTCTGGTCAAATGAGACAGGGGTCCCCAGTGGCAGCTGGGACCGTGGGTTCGAATCCCACTCAACCCATGGATGTTGTCCTGTGTACAGGTATAGGCCTTGCGACGGGCCGATCCCTCATCCAAGGAGTCCTAACGAATGTCTATAGATCGAGCCAACGAAAAGTGGGGACCCCCGTTCCCAGTATCCCAGAAATGACACAGAGGGCAGTGGAAAGATATGGCCGTGTCCTAATTAAAGTTGTCTGATGTAAAAATTAACTTTTTAATGATTATTTAGTCTTCCTCAATCTCCTCTCCTTGTAGTCTTATAAATATGACGATCATCTGGTATTTAGAAGGATTTATTATTACTCTCTTTATATTATGATTCATCCTACAGTCTAGTGATAAGAATTGTTTACGTACGCACTTTTCCTTGTTCATATTTATAGACCAACTACATTAGTAGCATCTAATATAGATCTTATTTTACAAGAATGACTATAAATATACCAAAACAGAGCGAGGATATTTGGGGATTCTTATCCTCAAGTGTTTTTATTTTATATCGTCAACTGATATCAAATCTTATTGAAATCAAAGTTAATGTTGACTTACACGTGTCTTCAGCATGGACCCAGTGAGACGGTCTGTTGGGTTCTGGGATCTCCCACGTGATGTTGCCGTACAGAAGTTCAGAAGCGGGGTCGTCTGTGAAAGTGTATGTGAAATTCATAGAGACCTGAAGGCGGTCCGGAGACACGGAGAATACGGGTCTCATGCAGCCATACGACAGCGCCTCCTCAGAACTGGCGTAGTATTGAACTACGAACCATGACCCCAACAACTGTCAGCAACAACATAAGGCTAGTCAGCGTTCTCAAGAACCGTAAGGATTTACAAACTAACCGGAGCAGAAACGTGTATTTTTAAAATAGGATATGCATTTCTCAACGCGGTTTTGATATTGATGTTGCAAACCTCATCGTCCTTGATGTTCGATTATTTCCCATACAAGACGTAGATGGGAGGATACTCTCAGGCGGGATCTATGGGAGATAGGAGTTGAAGGAGACTGGATTTTGTTGGCCCAGGACAGGGTCCGGTGGGGGGCTTTGGTTAATTCGGTGATGAACCTTCGGGTTCCGTAAGCCATCTGGTTGGTTGGGTCCACTATTTGGGAAGCCTGAGGGGAAGAGACCGCTGGGGAGACCTAGACGTAGATGGGAGGATAATCTCAGGCGGGATCTATGGGAGATAGGAGTCGAAGGAGACTGGATTTTGTTGGCCCAGGACAGGGTCCGGTGGAGGGCTTTGGTTAATTCGGTGATGAACCTTCGGGTTCCGTAAACCATTTAGTTAGTTAGTTAGTTAGTTAGTAGGTACATTTTAATATCGTAAAATTCAATTGTAAGGTACTCCATCCTCAATAAAATAGATGCTTCAACTAATTTTTAAATATTTTATCAACACGTAAATGTTTAAAGTATTTTTTCGTAAAGTTGTTATCACCACATACTTATAAACATTAAAATTAAAATTTCGCTGTAATCTTCTCGACGTGACTATTATAATTGAAGCACCATGAAACATCCTCTCATTAACCAATTATTTCTTAATTTCTAGACCCAAGTATTTTCGTGGTCAGTTTTGATTTCAAACTCTTGTAAGTTATGTACCATAAGTATATAACACACTAACCGCAAAATTTTTTAGTATCTCTTAATATTTTCTTCTGAAAAATAGTATTCATACTGTTACCTCGTGAAGATCGAAGTTTCTTATGGCCCTCACATGGGGACACTTGGTTTTATCTTCTCGCCTCTTGGTCGGATGTCCAAAGGATGAGAATCCCAGGAAAACGATGACGGTGGTAAGGAGAAACAGTGGCGACATGCTGCCGACGTGTGTACTTGATGCACTGAGGATATGGTATGGGGATTCAAGAGAGGGCGGAGTCTTCGCTTTCAAGCAGATAATTATGGAGTTCTGCAGATAATAACGTAGAATGTAATGCTCAACGCCCGTGACGGTCCAATCCCTAGTTATAGCTTCTCTGTAGTCTAACACTGCAACGTCGATGTTGGACTTCTGAGTGATAACGTCGTATCTACCAACGCTTCGGATGAATATACTCTCTCCGTCTTTAGCCCTGAAAATAGAGGCAGTATTTTCCTTCAAAACGTTGGTATCCACCTAAACGTCGACACGGTGTTGTTACTCAGAAGTCCAACATCGACATTATCACCGTTGTAGAGCCTAAATTCGAATATGTCATCAGCTACAAACCCACATTGAATTTCATAAAATATTCAGATTAATAAAAATTAAACAATTACTCGTCAATTAATAAATTGGTTAATTTGAACTAGTTTCCCGTCTACAGCCTTGTGTAATTAATAAATGTGATCACGTTCGAGGCCTTCAAAATTTTATTTTCTGGAGGGAAAAAGAAATAACGAAATTGATCAACTGTGGGTAAAATTAGGTTGTCGATGTTGGTAGTGTGAGAGACGTGCTATGTATAGAATATCCTCACTCCAGTTTTGCTTCAACGTTTATCAAGTTTCCTTTTCCGTCGTAATGAAACTAAAGTGATAAGTCCTTCTCCCCACTGGTCAAATTTTCTCGACAGTTAGACGTAGGCGTTATAACACCCGAAACACTTGGTTACCAGCAAATAACACAATTTGCGTTTCCTACATAAAATAGCAAAATTTTTTTAGAATTTATAGAAATATAATTTCACTGCGAACAATCAAAATATTACACGCGAAACTTAGAACTGCCCTCCCGTGTATTTATTTATAGCTTTAAATTAGTCGGTGTCAGGGTAGAATGGTAGGACAAAGTCTTTTAAGTTGAAAATAAATCAGGGAATTATCATAAACCACGTTTATATATTTTTAATCTTTTGTAACCATGATTACACAATTTAGAAACAAGCAGCTCTTAGGCTGAATTTCTTACCTTGCTCTACTCATATTATACTCCTTCATTTGGTTTTTTCAAGCACCTGGTTTGTGTATTGGCATCACTGGTTCTTGTAACTTAATCTTAGGTTAATATTTTCAGAGCTTTAAAATCCATCGTAATCCAAAGTACCCAAATACTGTTTAAAACTGTGATCCAACCTAATTCTCTTCATATGAAGAAACACACAACAACTCGGAATAACACTTTTATTCCTTAAATTGCATTTTGGTGTTATACAGTTTTGGTAAGTCAGCATGTTACATTTTTATTCATATACAGATGATACATATTTATTTATTTATTTCAAATTTTCATATTTTACAAAATTAAACACGGATATATTAACTAACATATATATTTTCAAATCTGTATACATGTCTGTGTCTTGCGAGATGTAATACGCCTGTCAGAAAATTTTTAAAAACAGGATTTGTGAAAGTATCACAGTAGCGATGGTAAGTGAATTATTAAAAGAATTTTTTTTATGGGCACAAAAAGTTTGTAAAATGAACTAATCCCAATCAGTTATCGGCGAGTATGATTCACAAAAATATCTTAACAGCACCCGTGCAACATGACTTCAGTCGTCGTAACAAACGCAAAACACTTTATATAATCCTGTTACCATATACACTATACACAAACGATATTTCTCGCAAGCGAGATTAATGGTATTTCACAGGCTTCGATTTCACCAACACTGATCTTTATACAGAATCTTAGCGATAAAATTACGCGATAAATAAATAGTTCGTACAATAAAATTAAAGACATAACTCGGGATTCCCTGTAAATTCAAGAACTCTGTTTTTAATAATTTATAAACATTCTCTAGAAATGTGTTATCAGAACTTTAAGCTGAGATAATATTTATATAAATATTCAAACTTTAATTCGTGATTAATATTAATATCTCATTAATAACGCGTAATCTCTTATGTCTTACCTTTCTTAGAAACGCGTTATTAAAGCATTTTCCATACCGATGGCCTGTCGATACATTACTGATAATTCATCACATTCAATATATTTTATTCAATACCAGATTACATTCTGTATGACGTACGACATCGCATCCTCCACTTCTACGAGACTCATTTCAGATTACATGCCATTTTGAAAAAGTTAATATAAAAATAAACCTAATATCGTAATATCGTAATATCGAATATAAAATTTCCTCCGCATTCATCCGCTGAATGACTTATTTTGTTCTGAAAATATATTTTTGAACAACGAAAAAAGAAGAACAATATAACATTTTCGTACAGCCCAAAAATCAGTTTAATATCTGACGACACACATTAAATTTTGACAGCAGTAAGTTTATTATTTGAGCATACTTCAAAGCTAAACAAATACAAATTCTGTTTCATAAAATAAACGTGTCTAACTTGCATTGTTTCTATACAGGTTGATTCAAAAGTTAGGACCAAACTGAATGAGCGTATAGGAATCCATGTCCTCCTCAGACTCGACACCTCTCGATTACTACTTTTGGGGGCAAGTCAAGAGCCTCGTTTACGAGACTCCGGCGGACGACCCAGAACAAATTTGGCCAGAATACTTGCTGCATCTGACGTGGTCCTTGAGACTCCTGGGGTATTTGAAAGGGTGCGCCAGAGTTTCGTTCGCCGATGCAATGCCTGCGTTGAACGTGGCGGACGCCGCTTTGAACAAATGTTGTAAAACTGGTTTGTAAGATTGCTAATGTAATCCTTGTACATTAATAAAAAACAAAATTAAGCTAGTACGAGAATATTATTTTAGCGGAATGTTATCAGACGTCCCCGCCTTCAATGGCCCCGACTGACTCAGGATAACTTCGGAGGACATGGGTTCCTATTCCAAAGTTTTTCTCTCTGAGTCCCTCTATACCCTCCTTCAGTTTGGCCCTAAACTTTTGAATCACCCTGTAGAAATCTATGTACAGCATATAAAGTTAAACGCCCATAATCAAATGGGTCGTACATATTCACCAAAATCAGTCCCATTTTATAACAGGCCCGCAATGAAAAAATCCATTAAATGCCTAGGCCAAAGCCGAGGCTGGCAACGAGCTGTGTTTTGGTTTTGTTTTATTGAGGAAAACTTTGATGCACCCGTTGAAGTCGGCACTGATCAGAACGTAACCCCCGCAGCCCTTGGTACGTTGAGCCACGACGGGATCTTCCACTCGCAAATTCTGGCTGGCATCCGCGGTTCCTTCGCGCTCCTCGATCTGTCGGATGATATTATCCGGATTCGGAGCAAACACGGCGCACGTGACCACAGCATTGTGCGCTTTGATCCCTTCCCAGAAATCATTTCTGTCCCGGCGAACCGACGAGAATTTTGAATAATCGTGATGCGTCTTCCAGATGTAGATGCACTGATTTTCGGACCCACTAATAATATATTTACCATCGTGACTAAAGCTCGCTTTTATCTGACTGCTCACATTCACATACCCTTTGTACTTGCATGAAAGATTGAGGTCACGGAGGTCATACAATCGAATGCGGCTGTCATTCGAAGTGACGAGTATCTTATCTTCACCTGGCATCGGTTCAATCCCGCTGATCTTACGACCGGTCGAATTCTTCCCCCTCGTTGACCGGACGTGTATCTGCGTGTGGTACTTGAGTTGATCGGTGTTGTAGAAGATGCAACGACCGTCGTACGATCCCAAAACTGCGAACTTACCATTCTGGCAGAAATTGGCTGCAGTGATGAGTTTAGTCTGACCATCCACCTCATTCCATACAGCCACCTTCTTGTCGGGAATGTTCCAGAGACGTAATTTCCCATCCAGAGACCCGCTCAGAAAGTAGCGATCATCCCGAGGATGAAACGCGATGGCCGTCAC